CGCCCCCCCTCCTCTAATGAGAGAACAGCCCTGTGGTTTGGTAAGACAAAAGCGATTTTACATTTTACCTTTCCCCGGTGAGAGCCCAGATTCCAACATTTCAGTCGCAGCTACACTTTGAACATGCTTCATTGACTGTGAAATGGTTTGAGACCATTAGTCACTGTGGAATGCATTACACAAATACAGAAGGCTTCATCGTGGGCCGAAGGGCCTGTACTGTTCTCTGTTCTATGAAACTAATTTCCTATCGTTTCCCATTTAGTGCACAATTTGCTGTCCCCCTAGCTTCCACCTGAGGGCGATGGTGAGAACAGTCCACTCTAACGATGCAATTGCACCACCCGGTGGAGTATCAGTGCTAATACAGCTCGGGTGACAGGTATAATGGAGCTGGAAGCTCTGTTAGTTTGTACACACAGGTGTCCCCCGCCCCTTCTCCATCCACACCCAACTTACAGCTCTCAGTATCACCATGCAGCTGAGAAGACCTCTACACCCCGCCCACCCCCACCGCACACGTGCGCACACCCACCCACCCCACACTGCACAATCTGTGGCTGGTATTGCGCAGCCTCTTGATGCCTTTTGTCAGAGTGACATTGGCAACAGGCTTCAGCTCTCCTACAGGAAGCAAGCAAATGGTGCTGGTAGATAAAAGGTTGAAGAGGGCAGTGATGAAAAGGTTTCCAGCTGAATTAAACACACTTAACCCAACAGGTTACCCTGTCCACATAACAGCAGTGTAAACTCAGTAATCTGACTCTGTTTTTGTAAAAACATTTCAGTCTATTTAATGGTCTGGAAAATAGCTGCTTAAAAGCCTTCATTCAGAAGAACCCTGGCCTTAACACAAGAAGTAGTCGATGCCAAGACATTGAATGTATTCAAGAGGCGGCTAGATGTAGCACTTGGGGGCGAATGGGATCAAAAGTTGTGGGGAGAAAGCACGATTAGGCTATTGAAATGGACAATCTGCCATGATTGTGATGAATGGTGGAGCAGGCTCGAAGGGCTGAAAGGCCTCCCCCTGCTCCAATCTTCTGTGTTTCTTTGTTTTTATGTTTCAGAACCAGGCCAAAACAGTATCCTTCCTCTAAACTGAAAACAAAGACTTGTGGATGCAGGTGATCGGAAATAAGAACAGGAGATGTTGGATGTGCTCAGCAGCATTTGTGGAGAGAGAGATAGAGAAAGATGGTGTTAACATTTGAGCTAAAGACAGGGTGTGGTCCTGAAACATTGACTCCGTGTTCCAGTCCCCAGATGGTTCCTGACTGGCTGAACATTGCTGGCATTTTCTATTTTCCTCGATGTTTTTTTTTCTCTGCGATCCCTTGGTTCAATTGCCAGCTGCTAGGTGAGTGAGCCGCACAGTGCAGCGTGTATCACTGGTGTAGGGTAAGCAACTGGGGAATCTGCTTCCACAAGGAACAAATGTGGAGATTTCTTCCAGTCAGCCTACTTCTCACACCCACACAGACTGCGAGATGTGTCCGTGTGGTTTGGGAGTGGTGGGGCAGCGTGTGGAAGTGATTGGGAAGCAGGGCTGGAATAAGAACCCAAGTGTCTTTTTGTTCTGCAGGCTGGATCCTAATTGACCGCTGTGGGAAGCATTTTGGCGCTGTTCTGAACTACCTGCGAGATGGCGCAGTCCCCCTGCCAGAGACTAACCGTGAAATCGAGGAGCTGCTGGCTGAGGCCAAGTACTATTTGGTGCAGGGGCTGGTGGAGGAATGTCAGGCTGCTCTTCAGGTAAAACCACCATCACGGTGCACACAGTGTACAGGTGATTCGATCTGCAGTGCTCCAACCTTCCTATTAGAACAGCTAGCCTCAAAGCTGAAGGATCTTTGTATAATAAATAGGGAGAACCTATTTCCAGTGGCAGTGTGGGGGATTGGGGTTAGGAAGGTTGAGCAACGATCGACTTGAGATCTTTTAGAACAGTGGGATTCAATGGAATAAACCATTTCCGCTGAGGATCACCTGAACAGATGTCAAGCCTTAAAATTAGAGCTGGACCATTTAGCAAAGACTGATAAAGTTTTATTAGAATAGTATCAAGAGCCAGGGACCAAAGATGGATAAATGGAGATGAAGTTCAGATAAACCATGACATGATGGAAATTGGCTCAGTTAGTAAATCGTACTAAGTAGTTGGGGAAAATGACAAAATTTGCAGGTTTATTAAAGTTTACAGCGAATAAAAATTAATACTACACAAATCTGAATATTCCTGACAAGAAAAACATGTTGCCAAGGTTTTTTATTTTGCACTCATCAGGACAAATGCAAGAATGACACATTTAAAAACAATGACAGCAATTGATACGGCAGAAAACAGTGCTGGTTGGTTGCCAAATTGACTCCGATTGGCTGAGGTGTTGCCATGGAGAATGCAGTAGCAAACGTATGCATCAGGCAATCGGTAAATTGATGTAAGAACGAAAAGAACTGCAGATGCTGTAAATCAGGAACAAAAACAGAAGTTGCTGGAAAAGCTCAGCAGGTCTGGCAGCATCTGTGTGGAAAAAAATCAGAGTTAATATTTCGGCAGGTCCAGTGACCCTTCCTCAGAACGGTTCACTGGACCTGAAACATTAACTCTTGATTTTTTTT